CCGTCGATCACCGCTGACCTCTGTCAACTATCACCGACCGTCAACGACTGTTGTTAGCCACCGGCGACCTCCGTCAACTACTACTTACTAGACGTCATCAGTCGACGTTGTAGCGTGGAAAGCTAGTAACCCTTTCCCGCCTGTGGGACAAGGGGCATCTGTAATCATCATCTTATAGTGGATTTTTACAACTGGGCAAGGCCCCGTGGTTTTTCCCTTTTTACGGGTTTTCCACGTAAAAATTTCTGGTGTGATCACAGCTTGATTCACTTTCATCTGAGTGTGTGCTGCATTTTCGTGCAACGCTAAGACGATAATCCTTTACTCTACCGCCGCGAATTTTCTAGCACGCATCAAGTAGATAGGGTCAAATGATTCAATCAATCAGCTGCTCGCTCCATTAACTTAAGTATAATAAAACTAACCTGTCTCTCTTAAGGAATATCTAGATCTTCAAACCTCTTCAATTCCTGCTCCAATCTAGATAATACTCAATGTGAGGATTGCCATCAAAATAAGAACAGGAGAAATCATATATAATTTCAAACTTACCTTGACTATTGTAAGGATGAATCAAGTAAGGTTTATGACTGATAAGAGCAGATTGTAGACGAGAATGATGCTCGCCAGCAGATCCAAGAAGCTTGGCTCTAGTCGGTTGGTCGGATTGACAGGAAAGCCATAGATCACAGTTTGTTGCAACGATGCTACCATTTCTGGTAAGGCAGTCAGATAAGTCTGTGTAGTTGGTAGAGGGCATTGCTATTCCTGAAGTGATGGATCTCTCGTTGCAGTCTACGCAAAGAAGGTCAAAAAACTAGATCTAGGGCTTCTGGCATCGGCAGACTAATAGCTTGGTATTTGCGGAAGTGAGGCCAGATTCCAACATTGTCGCAAGCTAGGAAGTTGCCATCGTTCCTCTTCATTGTCATAGGCTCCGATACTTGATGTAAATGATAGAATGACTAGAGGCAATGAGAAGAAGAACGTGAGACCAAAAGATAACAAAACTGCAAAGCTGTCATTAAAGTTTCTGAAAAATAATAATCTCCTTTCATTTATTCAGTGGAGAATATTTATATCCCCACTATCACATAGCAAAAAATTAAAAAAAAAACTAATAAGCTAAAGAAGTTGAGTTTGCTTAAATGTAACAAAGCATGTAGTAGAGCATAATAGTAAATAATATATAATAAATGCAAAATTAAGGTAATTAGCTGCATCACTCGTTGACGAGCAGGCTCCGCTCATTTACACCCACAGGTGGAATAATCATGAATAGAGTTAATATTTAATTTTATGATTTTATAAGATTTAAATATTATACTAGTGATTGTCACCCATCGTATTCAAAACCAAGGATACCTCTTACAAGCTAGAAACAAATAAACACAGGCACAAGTAAATACATTATATATATATATAAGTTTGAAAGACGACACTTCAATTAAAATAGTTCTAAGAAATACAAACAGAATCTGATTCTCATGGCTTATAAGAAAAAATAACGGACGGGTAATATTAAGGAAAAAAATATTTAATTAGAAAAAATTCAGCTAAGTCAAAGCAATGAAAAATAAATAAAATAAAATGACGTAAAGTCACAATACTCCTCCAACTTTATAAGATTTCTTTTTCACCTTGCGACACAGAAACAATACAACAGTTACAAAAGATACAAAATCAGAAAAAGACCTAAAAACAGTTGCAGAAGGCAAAATCCAATGTGTAACGGATACTGGTAGGAAAAAAAGGGGGAAGCAAAACTAGGAGAGAAACAAAAGGGATATTTACATACATACCACTCAATGTATAAGTATTTACATATAAAACACCTAAACTTTACTTTTTTACATTCATACCACCAAAATCTTTCAAAAATCTTTCATATCACACTTTCATATCACATCAAAAATATCATCAATTTAACTTTTAAGAAGCGAAATACATTATACATTATTTCATGCATAGATAAGGTGATGCATGTAAAAATTAAAAGTTGTGTCAAATATATAAATAAATAAGAATGGAGTGGTCTGCAAATCTCCCTGGCATAAAACCAATTTACTTGTTATGCCCAGAAAGCAGCAGATTCTTCAAGTTCAACAAGGAATCATTTGATGTGAAATGACTCCAATGAAATAAGGTTTCCAGAAAGCAAATAGCAAGCACCTTAGTAGAATCCCAGGGAGCATACCTCGGACATCAATTAATTAAGAAGAATATTGCGACAAAAAATTATGCCTCTCGGTAGTTTTGTGGGCCGTAGCTAATAGTACCTGCCATTAAAATAAAGGAAATTTTATTAGGGCACGCATTGAATATATAAATTTACTAATATAACCTAAAATTTTCAAATATTATCAATTTAGTATTTCCTACAAAAATGTCATCATAATTAGTTAACACAACTTAAAGAAAAATCTAACAGAATTTTTAAATAATTTTTCAAAAGTTTTATCAAATAACAAAAGCAAACCTCTGCATTTCCCTGGAATTCTGTATTTCTTTTCAGCGGGTAAAAGTAAATTAGTAAGAACGGATCCTTTAATCACCATACATGTCTCAAATATAGGATTAATTATCCATCCAGAGAGATTGCAACCCTGCAAGAATTCCGATGATCCTATTGGACAAGACCATATTACTCTTACATAGCCAATGTTTACACACCACAATACATTTTCATAGCATCCATGTTAATATTTATATATTCTCAAAGTCCCCTGACTATTTATACGGGTTCATTTTAGTCCTGACTCCCAATGTTTATAAAAAGTGCTAAATTAGTCATCCAACTGTTTAATGAAGGGCTAAAATAGTCCTCGCCAGAGACTACTTCAGCCCATATTAAAAGAATCTGGGGACTACATTGAAATTTTTATAAAATTGGGGACTCAAATGTCCCCTGCAAAAAACATGGGGACCATTTTGACACTCCTCTATATTCTAAAATCTCTGAAAGAAACAATTGGTTGGCTACCCAAAGGAATGCAGAGACCAGTTGTGAAGATCCATGCCCAATCTAACCAGATTAGTCAAACTATACCAAATGAAAGGACTCTTTCTTTGTTGTAAATTGACCATTACCATTTTTCATTAATGACCTCCAAAAATTTTATTCTTACACAATGCGCAATCCTGAACATAAATGAAAGCTGAATTATAGCTCAACAAGGATACATTGAAAAGAGATTTACGAGGAGGATATTAGTTCCTTGTGATATGGCTCTTTATTGAGTTGTCAACAATAAGAAGTTTCTCCTGGTGGAAGGGGCCCTTTTCACTGTGAACCATGCGGCATTGCCACCCGAGTCGCTCGGCTTCGTTCTTCAACTTTATGACAATGTCGACATGGTCTCTGATTATCACAGTCCCTTCAGGGCGAAGAATGCGGTCCATCTCAAGTAAGATGTCAATGAATTCACACCTGCATCAGAGAAGCTTCATGATGTACACTTTATTCTGAAGAAAATAAAGACTTTCAATTTAAATGCCCCTTTGTCTGAAGATGAGGACCCATTCAGGTGTGGATTGCCTTTGCAACACAAATGGGTTTGACCATGCCCCGACAGTCAGCCTTTTATACAGGCCAGCCAAGCATTTCCATAAAAATTAAAACTTTGGGTTTGTTTGGCATTAATTTTGTTTTTGCTTTTTTTCTTGTTTTCAAAAACATGTATGTTTACCGTGTAAACCTGTTTTTATTTTTTTTATAAAAAAAATTAATATGTTTTGAAAACTCTTCAAACAACTTTTAGTTGTATTGAGTGTTTTTGAAAAAAAAAATTACTTTATTTAAAAAAAAATGAAAACGCACAAAAAAACACTAAAAAATATGTTTTTAAAATAAAAGCAAAAATAAAAAAACAAGAAAACAAAAAAAATAAGATAGAAGTGATCTCAAACAAGCCGTTAGGAAACTATATGGGATTTATTTTAAACCGGCAGAAATGGCCTCCTTATTCATCCAAGATTAAAATATTAAATGAAAACACACAATAATACACTAAAAAATATGTTTCTAAAAGAAAAGCAAAAAAAAAAACAAGAATACAAAAAATAAGATTGAAAGTGATCCCAAACAAGCCCTTAGGAAACTATATGGGATTTATTTTAAACAGGCAGAAATGGCCTCCTTATTCATCCAAGATTTAAATATTGAATCAGGGTATGATTATACATATCTGCATTTCCTGAATTTTCTCAAATAACAACGACTCTAACAGCATGGCCTATACGGATAGATAAAGGATTAGCTTTCTGATTTTGTGTCAGCACAAGTGGTCCAAACCAATCCTGGTTTTAAGACTAGAAAATTTGATCTTTTATATGTATTATGCTTTTTGCCCTTTCAAGTTGTATGACAGCATCAATCTGCCATTCATCTTTCGTTCAATTTAAAGTATTGTATCCCGTCTTACAGACCTAAGAATCTGCCATAGCAAAGTGCAATTTCATCTTTCGCCATAGATATTGAGGTAACAATCCCCCAGTATTTTTTCAACTCTTTTTAAGATATATTTCAACAAAAGCATGACTCATTGAGTCATGCATTCGTGACTCATATATTACACCAACTTCATGCTAAATCCATACAACAGTGGAAAAAGTATTTAGGAAGATCGAGCTCATTGACTTATATAATGGCATTTTGCAATTTCCAAAGTTATTGTTGCTTAAGCAATCCATATTAATTTGCAAGTTCCTTAAAACATGGATGTTAACATGCAAATCCCTTAAGACTTTCATGATTACCTAACCAAAATTCTAAATAAAAGAAATACGGGGTCTATTCTCACAATAGTCTCGATTTTCATCAATATATACCTTTCACCTTTCACTTTTCACATAAATTAAGAAGTGAAATAACAAAAAAGTTAAACGGCATCATTAAAAAATCAAAGCAATTTAATCACTAGATTTATCAGTGAATTGTGCTAAAATTGGTTTGAATCAACACTCATGTAAAGTAAATTAGATCGAGATTATGAGATTACTGAGATTTAAGTTTAAAAAGACCCTCACAAATTGGAAGTTTTGGTGCATCAAGCAAAACTTACTTGTACAAGTACATGCTGAAAATTCCATTAGCATGTATCAGATCATATGTGCGAGGGTAGGTAGAAAATGCTTCACACCTGCAATGCACAAAAAATAGAAGAATTAAGTAACAATATATATCTGACAAGCATTCAAAATACCAAAAAGAAACTACTGGTGTTCAATTTCACCAAACCATGCTATTTTTTTCTCTTAAGAGACCTAAAATAGTAGTTGCATTCACTAACATACCACCCAATTCTTATATATTTATATATCCAATACCTAAACTTCGCTTTTTTACATTTATACCGCCCAAATCTTCCATATCACATCAAAAGTACCACTATTTTACCGTTTAGAAAATGAAACACACTTCTAAAGTATAGGCAAGGTGGCATATATGTAAACATTGAAGTTTAGCTGTTAGCCAAGTAAATACATAAGAATTGACAATATGTATGCAAACCTTCCAAATTATTATTAAGACAAACATACAAAGAGTGTGGCGGTGGGGTAGAAAGGCGGCTGATTGGTACCAATTCATATAAGTTCCAAGAAGACCACGCTCATAAATTATGCCAAGGGTGTTGATCGATGTGTTCACCGGAATTACATTCATAACCCAAAGTTGGTATCTTTCCAAAGCAGCAGCAAAACCTCCTAAACCAGCATTCATGTCCATGATGTTTCTGTATTTACCAGCCAAACCAAAATTGATGTAAATACCATAGTTTGAGACTCTCTGATTCCAAATCCGGTTATCGTGATTGAAGTTCTCAGAGGTGACTCCCTTCACACTCCAACTTTTTATCCTTGGGGGTATGACAATTAGTCTTCTAGGCCACTTGGCAAGAATGCCGCCCGCTGTGTCCTTAATTTGTTCTGCCTTTGGAAGGGGGGTTAAACAGGCCTGCATCTCATCATACCTAGTGTACATGTAAAAAAAATCAGAAGATAGACTATAGAAACTAACAAAATTAGTTGACTAAAACTCTAATATCCTATACAAATATTATTTATGAAACATTTTAAAGGTAATCTATAAAAAATTGTATACTTAAGAAACAAATCACGAATATTGATAGATTTATCCAAAAAAGATGATGTAGCAACTATTAAAGTACTCCCTATAGATATTTCTGAAGGAAATGCTCCCTCCAAAATGTGCATAGTTAAATCAAATTTAAAAATTTATCATGTTACAGTCATGATGGTATTTTTTTTTTTCCACTTCTGCTGTATTTGTCTATTATTAGTATTAAATCATCTTATGGGAGAAGTTCCCACAGCACAGAAGAAACTAAAGCATTCAATTACAGAAATAAATAACTACTCACCAAGCAGTATCTGGATCTCTTCCCTCACAAAAATGTAGAGAATTTAAGGTTTTCAATTTTGTTGCACAGTGGAGATGATTTGTTGGTTTTCTCCACACCGCGATAGGGCCCTTCTCTGCAACCTTTTTCCAACAAAGTTTTTGGGCCAAATCTTCTATGTCGTTCTGTTCAGCTTCCAAGTCCTCGGGCGTTCTTTCCCAACCTTTATACATTTGTTTCCAGTTGATGGGTGGCCCAGATAAAACAAAGTAACCACCGGGTCGGAGAATACGATCAATCTCCAACAAATACAAACCCTCTGAAGTAAAGAAAAACAAGATAAACAAATCAGTTGGCAGGAACAGAACTTCATTTAAACTTTACGGTTTTATCTAGGACAGCCTACATCTTAAAGCATGCAGCATTAAATTCAAAAAGTTAGAATGAAAGTCACAAAACTGATCATGAATGTCTACAGGTACATTCAAGTAATAGACATTTAAGAGAAATATAATACAAAAACAATAATTAAGTCAAATTGCATAAAAATTAAGCTTTACATAAAAAATAATATTTAAGGAATTATGAGAAATACAAATGGTTAACAGATTATTTTGAAAATTTTCATGCAGTTTAAGAATGCCGGTGCTGAAGCAGCAGTTTAGCACAAATTTTAGAAAAAGAAAATATGTTTAGAATTATGCTAATTCTAGCTGAATCAAACTTATGAATAATATAAGGAGAAAATATGGAAACTTAATTAGGCTAAAATCGAGAAAATTTTTTTTCATCAAATCATTTGTGCTAATTTTCCCTTCTAAAACTATAATGAGCAACAAGAAGATCTTCGTATATTTTTAATTATCTCAAAAAGGCATCATCAAATACCAGAGAGTTGATTTGGCGCGTATTAAGAAGAAAGTTATCCTTACTATGAGTCATAAGCCCCTATAATCAGATTCATGAATACCCCTATAATCAGATTCATGAATACCCCTTATTTTCTATCTTCTTCTAAGCAATCTGTTGTTCCTCTTCCACTAAAGGACATATTCTTATATACATATTACTGATAGTGTAGTCGAACCATGTTAAACCTTCAATTCTATGAAAAATTTTATCTTATACATATTAATCATAGTGTAGTCGAACCATGTTAAACCTTCTTTTATATGAAAAATCTTATATTATTCAATACTGCTCATCATGTGCTCAATTCCTTTGTCTGAAGCCAATGATCTTATGTGAAATCAACGAGGGGCATTAGTCCATTAAAAAAAAAAAAAACCAATAAGTTGGTATAATGTGCAATAAATGCCATTAAAGTTTCCATATTCTCAATTTAGGAAGTTTGATCTGAACAGCTCTTATTTTCAAGTCCTTGTAATACTCAAACACTAATTAGCAGTAGCTTAAACACTAAATTCTAGTTAGGTATCAAAATTGCCAAGATTAGACAAAATGGCCGTCGAAATATTGCATTATTTATCGCTTAAACCAAGTTTCTTGACAAGGAAAACAATGCTATGTAGAAAACTAAGTTATAAATAGCATGAAAAGTATCACTTATTACTACTTAATAAAAAGGAAAATTTACATACGCACACAATTCTTATGAATTTAAATATCTCATGCCTGATTTTTCATATTTATATAGACATATAGCATTTTGGTGGTTTAAACCTACGCATGAAAATGTGTATTTCACTTTTAAAAAGTGCTGATAGTACTATTTTTGATGTGATATTAAAGGTTTGAGCGTGATGTAAATATCAAAGTTTAGGTGTGAGATATGTAACTACATAATAATAGTGTGCTATGTATGTAAACGCTCAAAATATTTTTTTTTTTCTACAAAAAAAAAGCTTCATTAAAAAAGCAAGGTTTCAACGATTACCACGGCTGGCCCACTTGATGAGACATCTTGAACAGTGGGCCATATCAAAAGACCTAGATGGATATGGGAGGCGAAAGATCGATAAAACTCCTAACATGGCAGGCAGACCACGCTCCAAGGCAAATTGTACTTGAGCTTCATGGACATCTCTTGGTGCAACAGACATTGTCAACGCATTATAATCCAGCAGATGGTTACCAAAGCTGGCAACCTGTTTGTAGTTAACTATTAATTAGAAAAGAAAATTCAAAGTTACTCTTGCACTCTATAGTATTTGAAATAAGTAGAGTATCATCAAATTTGAAGAAACTGAAAAGATGAAATATTGAATACAATAAGCTATATGGAATCAAAAGAATAAATACATGGAAAACAAGTTCTCAATAAATAACATGTGGATAATATGAGAATTTAGTAAACAAAATATATGAAGGAAATTTGAGAATAGAGCAGAAACTTCCATTGATGGGAGAAGGGTTATAAATATACATTACAAGACTCAAATAAAAGGAAAGACATAAATTCAAAAATAGAACACATAGGAAAGACATAAATATGGAAACTGAAGCAAATAAAGGGTAATAATAACTGCAGCGAAAATATGCTAAAAATGCTAATATTTCCCCTCAAATTGAAGCACACATGTTCATCATGTTCAATTTGAATTTGAAGTCATCAAATTACGGCCAAGGAAGATCCAAAAAATCCCACATTTCATCCCGTTGAAAGACATTCATCTTATCCATTACTGCAACTATCTAGAAAGGGTCTGCTAATCCTGCCTCAATAGTGGATGAAACATAATCCATTAGGGCAGTGAAAAACGCTTTGTAGGTTGGCAATACACTGTGGAAAGAGATATATTTTGCCATAAAATAAAGAGAGCTTCCCGATCATATACCTCAATAGGAGTGTGGTTAGTGTTGGATATGTCGCCAGAAGTGGATTGCAGGAGTAAGAACATCAGAACGAAAGTGTCGAGTATAAACACAGAGAGTGGGAGTAGATTCTCGTTGTTCGGTAGGTGGCTGATCTGGAGGGACAAATGACTCCTTGGATATAGTGGTTTGAGAAATATCGACTCTGATAAGAAATAATGTCCAAGAAATTTAACACCCTCTCATATGAAGCAATGATATGGAAGTAGGGGACACTTTCAAAGAATGAGACATCGACACTCACATTGAGTTTATTTATGATAGAATCAAGACATCAATAACCTTTTTGAGTGGCAGAGTATCTAAGAAAAATACATTTTATTGACCTGAAATCAAGTTTACTACAAATAGAAGCAGTGTTCCACACAAAAGTCGTGCACCCAAAAAATTTAAAATCAAGAGGTGAAGAATCGATTGGTAGGGAAACATAATAACAATATGATTAATGGAGTTCCGAGGTTAATTTTTATGGGGATTCCATTGATTAGATGAGTGACAATAAGCACAACATCATTCCAAAACATTTTCAGAGCATTAGATTAAAACATAATAAAACGAACTGCCTCGATAAGATGGCGAGAAGATGTTGATATTTTCTCTCAGCTACCCCATTTTGTTGAGTGTCAGTATAAGAGCTATTTTGGAATATGCCCTTACTTACATAGAATTCATTTAATATAGGTTAAAAAATTCATGGCCATTGTCAGACTGAAAGACTTGAACTGAAGTTTTGAAATGGGTCAAGATGAACTAGTGAGTTTTTGAATGTGACAACTTTAGATTTTTTTTTTTGAAGATATAAACCCACGTCATTCGAGTGTGGTCGTCAATCAATTTAAGAAACCATCATTTAACAATGTAGTTGGGAGTGCAAGTGAGTGCCCATAAGTCACTGTAAATGAGTGAAAAAGAAGTATAAGACGTGTAAGAGGGGTGAATATGAAACGCGATGATGTTTAACTAATTGATAAACCTCACATTTGAAGCTAGTAAAGTTTTTATTAGTAAACATTAATGGATACAATTATTTTAAATATTGAAAGCTAAGATGACCCAAATGATAACGCAACAATATAATAGGATATTCAGTGGATCGAGAAAAACTATAACTATTGGAAGAAGTGTCATCGTTCTCCATATTTTTCTCTTGAAAGAGTAGAGCTCGGCTACCCTCTTAGCGATTTCAATCATCCTCTCGAATAACGATCCTGGAAGACAAAAAAAAAAGAGTGACGCAATCAATGTCATGTATCAATTTACTGATAGATAAAAGAATACACTTCAGCAGATGTACTATTACACAGATTCCAGAGTTAGACCGGTTGTTAATACAACTTATCCTTTCCTGAATGACGATCCTAAAAGAAACAAATAATATGAGAAAAATGAACAATGCAATCAATGTCATGTGTCAACTTACTGACAGATAAAATGTTACACTTCAACTAAGGTACATGTAACACAAATTCCAGAGTTACGTCGGTTGTTAATACAATTAACCATTTACCAGCAATGGAATTACAGAAGTCGTAGGCAATTTTAACTGCATCTTTTCCAGGAGCATGGATAATATGTTGAGAAAGCTTGAAAGCATCGAGTCATGGGGCCTGTGACACATGAATCAATGATATATGGACTAGAAGAGACAAAAGAAATGAGTGTCATATGAACAGAACCTTGACGGTCGAGGGAGGTTGATGGGTCGGAAGAGAGTTGATTTGATCCAAGCAGCCTGATTAATTGTTCCATCCGACTCTTAAGAGATTCGGGTGGTTCTGGAATGTTCTGAGTGGGAGTTGGTTGTGTCATAATAGATTCAAATGTAGTAGTGAGATCCTAATAGCAGAGGATTTGATTGATGGTTTATTCATCAGTTTCCTATGGAGTTTCCAACACTTGTCACGGTATGATTAGGTTTGTAATAGTAATCACAAGTGGAGTGATTGGCCCGTGAAGATGTGGAGAGTTAAACACTATTAGAGACCAAGGTAAATGGTTCGACTGAAGGAGTGGAAGTGTCGAGCATGACAAGTCTCTGATTTTCTTCACGGCGTACCTTTGTGAATGCAACACAAGTTGAAGGAAGGGGATCCTGACCAAGAATAAGATCTCAAACTACTTTGAGATCCTTGTTTAGACCCGCCAGGAATTGGGACACGATCCTTTTCCACAATTTTCTGGAAGAGGTGAAGATCTGTTGGAGAGTCACATTTATATTCGTAGTAGAGATCACATTCCATCCATAAAGCCACCAAGTCATTGTAGTGTTGAGTCACGGTCCTTGATCATTGTTTTGCCTCGTGGATCCTCTTGAAAACCTCATAAAGTTGGTTTGAGTTCCCTACATCCGAGTAGGTATCCCGAACAGCCATCCATAGTACACTTGCAGATGGAAGAAACAAATACAAATGGTCAATTGTAGTCTCCATGAAATTGAGCAGCCAAAACATGGACCACACGCTGAATTTACGGAGGTTCACGAATCATCTCTGTGAGATAATCGAATTTCCTGCATCCTTTGAAGAACAATGACAGGGCTTAAGACCATTGGAAAAAATTAGATCTGTTAAGTTTATAGGTGGTGAACAAGAAGTTCATGTGATTTTCCGGTCCTCGATTCGCAGAGGGATTGAGGTCGTTGTAGATCCTCCAATAGACTCAAGTACCCCGTTGGAAGGAAGCTTAGAGGTGGAGTCCTCCATGATTTTGGTCGAGCCGAAGATGAAGTTGGGATTCTGAGATAATGAAGGATTTCGACTGCAGGAGAGAGAATTAGCAGCAAATCGGCGACTGAACCTTCAAGAAAATTGCAGGAAATCTGCTAGAAGGCAGAGGAAATCTGCAGAAAATCTACAGGGAGGCCTGCAGGGAAGGAGGGGTTGACAACAAGGTAGATGCTCTAGTGGAGGAAAGCTGCTAGAAGGCAGAGGAAATGTAAAGGAAATCTGCAGGGAAAATTGCAGGGCAGCGAAAGGAGGGGCCGGCGGCGGGGAACTCCAGGGAGAAACATTCGGGGAAGGAGGGGATGCAGAGAAGACCTACAAGGAGTGTCGATAACAAGATAAATGCGTCGAAAATCTACAGAGAATGACGACAACAAGGTAGATACCCAGACTGCTAGAGTTAAATCTTAGATTTTGATACCATAAAGGAAATCTGAGAATAAAGCGGGATACTTTCATTGATAGAATAAGAGTTATAAATACATATCACAAAGCTTAATAAAATGAAAGACCCAAATAAAAGGAAATATATAAATTCGGGAATAGACCACATAGGAAATACATAAATATGAAGATGAAAACAAATAAAGGCTAAAAGTAACTGCAATGAAAATATTTTAATAATAAGCATAGTGCAAATATTTATCATTTAGATCAATAGAAAAACAAAAATCTATCAATGTTGTGTGCACAACCCTTTCTAAATTTTTTGAAAAGGGACAGTCGGCAAGCAGATAGGCTCAAATGCTTTTGTCCTTAGCTTTCATTCCAATAAATAAAAGAATGTACAATCTATTTTAGGTAGCATAATATTATTTAATAATGTGTACAATTTGTTCTAGGTAATTTTATAATAAATATTCATAATCTAACTATTCTGCTAAAGGAAACGAATATGTACAATAAAACTAAGAAATTTAATGCAGCAATTAAGAAAGGAAACCCTGGATTTTGCCCGATTTCAGTTTATTTTTTATTGATATCCCCTCAAATTGATGTTGACTGATCAAGAAGCATCAATTTGTCAACAAGGAATTAATGAAGCTGTTGATAAAGAGTTTTAGTAAATATATCAGTCATTTGAAGATCAGAAGAGATATGAGAAAGAGAAATAACATCATTAACATAGGCTTCTCGAATAGGATGATAATCCACTTCAATGTGTTTCGTGCACTCATGAAAGACAAGATTAACAATAATCTGGATAGCACTAGTATTATCTGCATAGAGAGAAGTAGACTCAAGTTGAGGAAAGAAAAGCTCAGCCAACAAACCCCGAAGCCAATTGATCTCAGAATAAGCAGATGACATAACACTATATTCAAACTCAGTAGATGACTTAGACACTTAATCTCATTTCTTACTTTTCCAAGAAATTAAAGAGTTGTCGAAAAACATACACCAGCCAGAAATAGATCGATGTGTATCAGAATAACCAACCTAATCAACATCACTATAGGTTGTTAAGCTAATAGGAGACTATAGAAAAGAGCAAACCACGATAAGAAGTATCTTTCAAATAACTAACAATACGTCGAGCTGCAACTAAATGAATATGTGTAGG